GGGGGGGGGGGGTGATTTCTTAAAGAACTCCCAGAGCAGTGCCTATATGTTCTTTCTGTTCCTACAGAGCTGCAGTCTACAAACTTTCCGGTAAAGGGCCAGAAAACAAATCTCTTATATTTTGTGGGCATGTGGTATCCATGGCAACTACTCCACTGTGCACAAAAGCAGCCTTAGACAACCAGTGAATGAATGGATATGGCTGAGCTTCAGTAAACCTTCATTTACAAAAACAGGAGGTGGGTGGTATTTGGCCTGAGGGCTGTAGTTTGCTAACCCTGCTGCTATAGAGAGTTCCAGGCACAAGACAGGAGCAGCTGACAGTAACTGGGTTTTCACATTGTACCTAGTGACTAGGGAGAAGGGAACCCACGCTGGGTGTATCTAATCTGCGCACTTTATAGGAACTAGCCAATGAATAACATTTTGGGGGGAGACAAAAAATTCCATGAAGAAGACATTAAAAAAGATTTCACCTTCTATGCTTTACGATGAGCACTGATAGATAAAAGCAATGAATCAAATCTTATACTCTTTTAAAAGGTGATTTAACTTAAATTAGGAGAAATTACGCTACTTACCCGGGACAAAATATTTTCTAAAGATTCCGTTAAAGATCTCTTCGCTTTGTTTTTCAGCATATCGAGCTTAAATCGCGTGGCACTAGAAGGTAATTCACTTCCAATATTCTCTGCTGCAATCTGTGTTGTCTAAAAAGTGAAACAATGGAAAGTTGAGTCACAACTTCCTTTCTTTTTTCCTTTTTAAAGGAAGCATATTTTTTACCCCAGGCCATAATTATATCTGTGATCTCATCTCACCTGCTCCTCAGTGACAGGGCTGCAAGTCCAGGAAATAGTTTTGCCTCAAAGAATTGCTTTGCCTACTCCCAATGAAACAAAGAAATGTGCTTGGAAGCCACTCAGCAAAGCTCTTTAGAGCTTGTGCTCTACAGTCCGATCAGAGATCCATCATTCACTAACCGGCCTTGTGCAAGTTACTTACTTTCTCTGGGCTGCAATTTCCTCTTGGGTAAATTAAGCCCAACCTCAAGATCTAATCAAAGGCTGTGTTGTGAGACTAAAACAGGTAAAGCCAGTAAAGCACTGAGCACAGCTTCTGGTATAAAGGTAGCTATGATTTGCTTTCCCAAGTAAAGTAACAACTTGCCTTTGGGGACATTTCAGAGGGTAAGATAAAATAAATTTAGCAACTGAAGAATCCCTTCTCTCTGCCTATGCTGATCTCTTCACTGCTTTCTTTAGAGCTCTGTCTTCTCTCCCACCTGTTGTTTCCATCATTCCTTTCATTCTCCTCTGCCACCAAGCTTCTCTCCCTTAACTGGCAATAATATGAAACTGACAACACTAAATGAAGTTTAATGTTACTTATTAACAGAGAGGTATATTAAAAACAAAAAACCTACAAAGCCTGTAAATAAATTGCTTCCTACTTCTGTGTATTACCTGATGGTTTCACATAACCCTGGTGCTCGTCTGGCCAAGTTAACGTTTTGTGGGTGTTGAGAATAGTGAGGAGCCTGGGATCTGGAGCTCAATGCCCCGGAGAGATGCTTCTTTGCTCTCCCCAGCTGGGTGGCCTTGGGCAGGTTATTATTACCTGCTGCCCCTCTCAGTTCCTCTACCTGCAGACTGAGAATGCCCAACGAACCCTCCTCACAGAGCAGTTACGAGATGTAAATAAATCAATACGTATTAAAGCACTTGAAACAAACCTGACTCTTGATAAATGTCATCATTAGCTACTCTCTCGATTCGCTTTCTACTTTTAATAGTAAAAAAGGACACACCTACTTGAACAACTCTCGTTCCTCCTTTCTTCAGAAATAACCCCTCTTCTGAATTTGGTGTTTATCATACCAACTCACATTTTTGTACTTTTATTTTTTATATATCTATATCTATATATATCCATTAACATGTATGTTGGTTTACATGTAGTTGAAACTTTAAATGAATGTATCATCCTGTACGTACCCTTCAGTAATTAGGGTTTTTCTTTCAATGTTGTTTTTGAGATTTGTCCATGTTGACAAAGGTTCTCTGATTCACTTACTTCAATCACAAAGTAATATTTTCACTGTATAATCATAAAAGTTATTCCTATTCCTATTGTCAAATACTGACTCCCTTTTCACTTTTACAAAGGAGACTGCAGTAACCTCTCTTTTACATAGCTCCTTATCACATGTGTGAAAGTTTTATAAGGTAATTAATTGGGAATGTCCTTGCTGGGTGACTGGGTCTATGCATCTTCAATTATACTAGACATTGTCAATTTTCTCTCTCCTAAATGGTACCAAATTCATATTCCAAGCATCAGCATTTAAGAGTTCACCTTTATGTGGTATTGTCAGATTTTTACATTTCTGCGAGTCTCATGGGTATAGACGATCTCTTAATTTGTCTTCCCCTGATTTCTATCGTGATTAAGTATTCTTTATTTTATTCAGTTATTTGCTGGTCAAAGACCTTACATCTTCTTTGACATAATGAAATCCTAATTCACCAATGAATGTTATGCATTTTTCAAGGCATAAAAGAGAAGCAGTTCTGGTAAGAGCTCCATTTGTCTTCGGTCATCCAGAATTTTACTTCCATGAGGATTAGCACATGCATTAAAAAAACAACTTAGCTCAGAACTTCAAGGGGAACTACCACTTATCTTTATGTTTTCACTGAGTACACTGAGGATGCTCTGGACAGCTCATGCTTGCTGAGGAACGAATATGTGAGCGATGATCCGCAGGCAGGCCCGTGGGAAGCACACACCTGAAGTTACAGACACACTCAACAAATTCCAAGTGCCTGCCGAGCATCGCGCACCATCGGCAGGTGCCTTACTAGTCGCAACTGGTCCTGTGCAATCATTTACCAAGAACAGGAACCTGTTCTGACTCGCAGCAGCCTCCGGAGCAAAGGGAATTATGCACAAGGAGCCCTCACGTGACCCAACACCCGTTCACTCACTAAGTTAGGAAGCTGTGGATTTGCTTTCAAACTCGTAACAAAAGTTTTCATAAAATAGGAGCATTTAGGGCGGATTGTTCTGATATATGAAGAAAATATTGGCTAAAAGCCTAGTAGTATGTAACAGGTCCTACATGGACAGAAGAAAACTGATACTTGCGTTTTTCTCTTTTTAAACCCAGCTGTAAGAATCCCCATGCACTCAGTGCTTCCTCTACTCTCCTCTCCCATTTCATGAGATATTTTTGTATGTCTATCATCGCAATTCAAATATGATTTGAAAATAATTCACATTTAGAAAATAATACATGTTTAGAAAGTGATTCACAATTAGAAAATAACCTATTCCTAGTTTACTTTAAATTAAGCATCCAGAAGTTTCTCCTTTGATGATGCTGGGGACACCCGAACACATCTGGGGATCAGGGCCTCTTCTTTGCAGGCACAGATGTGAGCCTCCCGGGTGACAGAATGTTTGGAAACCTCGAGAGAAAGTACTGGCCAGAAGCCAGCTCCGTGTGGTGAGGTTTGGTCTCTTTTACATTTAATCATCTGATGTTTCCACAGAGAAAAAACCATTAAATATATTTCTCTGCTGGACTATTCTATGCCCAAATCATAAAGATGCTACCTACTTCATAAAAATGAGTTGGCACTTACGTCAAATCTTTCCATCTACCTTAAGTGCTTTATTCCCCTCTATCAGTTACAAATCATTTTAAAATTATCATTTCCTGTTGGGGACAAGTTAGGGGGGAAAATCAGAACAAGGAAAAACTATTAGTGGCACAAAAAGGGGGGAAAGCAATGGAAATAGGAAAAAATAGGTTGAAAAGGGAACTAGAGAATCAACCGAAAAGTTAGACAGGGTGGCCCACCCCAAGGTGGACGGGAGGGGCACAGCACTCCCACGCTGTCTAACGGGTACAGGCTGGAGAGGAGGAATGTCAACCACAAAGGCCAAAGGCCAAAGACACAGGCGGTGTACTGGCGTTAGTGCCACTGCCGAGGGAGCCTGCAGTCGGCCAGCGGTATTAGTTACACTGCCAGACACTGTGCGTGCGCTCTGAGCTCAGGAACAGCACGCGATCGCCAAAGCTGACTGCAAGCTAGAAACTCGATGGGGAGAGTTGCTGTGTGTGCATCCTGGTAAAACCTCACGATGGTGAGGCCACCAGAGAAGAAGAGGCTGTTTACGGGGACAGGGCACATGACTGGACATTAAAGTGCCTTTAGAACAAGCATTCCGTGTTTTCTAAAACGGCGATATACTTTTAGGAAATTGAGTTTTTAAACATCCTTCACTGATTTTTCTCTAGCTTGACTGACCTACAAGTAATTGAAACAAATATAAAATACATGTTTTGAAGCTATACTGATTATGATTCGACTTACACAGAGTCCAAAAAACACAGAAAAATGGTCTGTGGCACCGTGTGTACTGGCTCCCGGAATGGAAGCTTCTCAAAGACAGAGACTTGCAGGCAGCCCCAGCTCCTGACACAGCACCCCTCAAACAGAAAAGCTACCCAAAGCCTGCAGACAGCAGTGGACACAGGCAGACTGTGCCTCCCTCATGTGAAATGGGATTAACAGAAGTTCCGTATCTGAACACACACACGCAGGCTCCCTAACGTTCTGACTTTTCAGTGGGGCTGGCTTCCATTCACACAGCCTTCCCGTCACAGAGAGCCGCCGGGCACTTTCCGCAGTTCTGAAGGTGGACATGATGTCATCCCCACCTCACCAGGGAGAAAGGGGAGGCGACGGAGGCCCGCTCCAGTATCCACCCTGGAGCCTCACTCTCGGCTCTGCACCAGGCCTCCGGCCAGAGCAGCCGCGCCACCCTCGCTGCGACGCAGGAAGGCCTCGCCTTCCCCGGCACAGTCTGAATGTCCTCAAATCTTCCCTACACGTGTAACAAATGAAAATAAAATACAGGGAGACAAGACACGTTTCGGAGCTCCATAAAACCCTCAAGGCTGTTTTACACAGTGTCCTGGTAAAATTATGACGAGAAAAAAAACTCCTACCTGCTTTATCTCCCCAATATGGACGTGAACTTTTTGCTTCTCTTCATACAAACATCTCAGGAAAGAAATAACCAATTCATTCTCTCGCTGCTCATTTCTTGGTCTCAATTTCTTTAAAAAAAAAAAAAAAAAAAGGAAAGAAGAATAAGAATATTACATTTATTTTTCATTGTCAACAAGACTGCTAAACCATCCCTTTGGAAAGGCTGCCAGCGGCTCTCCATCCATTAACTACTGTTTTTCCCCCGATCGTGTCACTAGGGGGCACCAACGATCCCCAAAGTGGAGATAATTTTTTAAAAGAGACAGTGGGGCCAGCCAGTGGGGCAGATTTAGCTTTTCACCTCAGATGTCCTTATACCTAAAATAAATATTTCACATCAGATAGAGGCACAGTCAAAATATTTAGTACATAAACAGTCTTGGAAACAGAAGAACAAAATCTGTGTAAACACAGAGGTCAAGAGCCATGGTGGCTACACGTTTATAAACTCCTGTGGTTAGTGAAGTGGAAAAGGAAAGAGCGACTGGACCCAGGGTCATGGTTCCACATGGCCCATGTGCTCGTCACGGAGCACGCGCTTTCTGGAAGCCCCACAAGGCAGGCACTCGCACACAAATTTTCATGGCACCGACTCAATGTTTTTTCTTTCTACTTAAAAAATATTCTCCGTGTCTTTCATTTTTCAGGCAGGGTGGTGGCAAAGCACACGGGAGTGGAAACGAGGGCATGCAGGTTCTAGGTGCTGCCTACAACTGTGACCAAAGGCATCACTTAATCTTAGTGTCCTCGTTTGTTCAAACGAAGATGGTATACAAAACAAACTCCAAGGTCTCCTCCAGCTCCACAGTCTTCGGATTCAAAACAATCAGAGTCCATTTTTAGAAGACCATCTAACTTAATGGTTTGTTTTCTCTGAAGATGAAGAAAACAAAACTGAATTACTCGAGATACACACAATTTCTAGTGTATATACTTTGGAAACACATCTTTTTTCAGATGAACAATTATCCGTTGTCCTGCTGCTGGACTCTCTCTCTTCTCCAAACTTCTAGCCTGCCCTTTAAACAAAGTCGGGGTGTAATAGATGGATCAATACACATGCATCTGAGTCTGGGTCAACCACTCTTGGCAACCTCCTTCCCCAGCTAACTAAGGAACAGTGGTTTTATCCTTCATGCCACCAGCTTGACATGAAGCAAAGGCAGTGCTAACTTAGACCTTCTGACATTCCACCTCTTAAAGATCATTTTGAAAAATAAGCTTTCCTGTTACTCAAGAAAAAGACAGTGAATAATTAGAAGGGGTTGTTTTCACTGAGGACTTTCTGTTCTTTCAACTTTCAGATTTAAAGGTTAACTATTTTAGAGGCTAGAACAGATGCTCTCAACCTGGATTCTAAGCCACGAACCTTGATGTTATAAAACTGTACATGTTTTATTCAACAAGTGGATTTTTCCAGAGAGAGATCCCATCAGATCTTCAATAACGGAAAGTGGTGGTCAAGTACCACAATCCCAGCTGAACACTGCTGACCCCAAGATGGTAATAGATATCTGTGAGTTTAAAAGCCCGGGAAGCTACAGAAACTCTCATTCGTTATCGGTGGGACTAGAAATGGTATGGCCACTGACAGAGACAGCTGGCGTTTTACAAAGCTAAACATCCTCTTACCATATGATCCAGCAATTGCAACGCTTAGTATTTTCCCAGATGAGTTGGAAATTTATGTCCACACAAAAACCTGCACATAAATGTTTACGGCGGCTTTATCTATAATTGCCAAATTATATTATTTATAATAAGCAACCCAGATGTCCTTCAGCAAGTGAATGAATAAACTGTGTTACATCTGGACAATGGAATATTATTCAGCACTAAAAAAAAAAAAAAGAGCTGTCAAGCCCTGGAAAGATGTAGAGGAACTTTAAATGCATATTGCTAAGTGAAAGGGGCCAATCTGAAGAGACTATATTCTGTATGATCCCAATTATAGGCAAAACCAGAGACAGGATCAGTGGTTGCCTGGAGTTTGGAGGAGAGGGGAGGGATGGAGGGACAGGCAGGACACAGAAGATTTTCAGGGCAGCAAAACAAATCTGGATACTTGTTTTTATACATTTGTCAAACCTATAGGATGTACACCACCAAGAGTGAACCCTAAGGTAAACTACGGACTTCAGTTAATAATAACACACCATTAATGGTAACAAATGTCCCCCAGTTAGGCAACATGTTATTAAGAAGGGAAACTGGCTGGGGTGGGAGGTACAGAGGTGGAAGTTTATGTGGGAACACTCTGTGCTTTGAACCTGACTTACTGTAAAACTAAAACCACTCTAAAGAATAAAGTCTCTTTTATTTAAAAAAAAAAAAAAAAAAGTTCAGAAAAGAATTACAAGAAGCCCCTCAGCTGGTGTAGGCACCTGAGGGCTGACCCATTCTTTTTTCTTGTGTATCTTTTAATTCAATCTTTGGGCTACTCTCACAAGAAAATGTGCATTTTTCTGGGAGAAATTCTTTGTCTATTTCAAAATATCAAAAAAGGCTAAGAAAGCAGTAATAAAGAGCATTATTAATACATGTTCTTTTCCTCAAAATACACGTGAAAGAAACTATTCAAATGGGCAGAAAATGAGAGTACAGCTGGGCACAGTTGCTGCGCATTAAAAACTGAAGCAGGGGAACCGGAGACCACATCACGGGGCCGGTTAAACATCACAGAGGAAAGTCAGCAGAGCAGAGACGCGCATCTTCACGGGGGCGGACAAGGTCAAGGATAAACCCTGCCTTAAAAGAACATGGTTAGGGGCTGCCGTTCTATTGAGGTCACTGATGAGCAAGGTGTCATCTCCCCCTACCTCCCATGGGACTTCACCATCCTCCCCAGTGGCAAATCATTATTTCCTAGAGGGGACTTCATTTTATGGACACTCACTGGGCAGAGAGACAAGTGTGAGGGGGAGAATGGGGAATCAAGTTGGATAACCACACTTCGCAGTCAAAAATTAACTCGCTTGTTCAAAACTAAGCTACGGGCATCAGGAGCTGGGACGGCGGTGACCTGGGGCAGTGCCAGGGGCCTCTGAGGGGCGGGCAGTGCTCTAGCTCTCTGTCCCCGCGCTGGGGCACAGGTGCATCCGCCTCGTTAGAAACCACTGAACTACGCACCACTGACCAGTGTGCTTTCCCGGGGCTATGTTATACTGCATTTTTATTCTTTTTCAAAAAGAACAATAACAAAACAATGATGGGTCTTAACCTTATCTGTATGAGGGGCCTAGAAACTGGCTGTAAAAGCATTACAAATAAATTCCCGCCGCTGACTGATGGATACAGAAAGCTGAGGAAGCTCACGGTCTTTGGAGGAAATGACTTAAAACTGCAGTGCTCACCTGGACACGACATTCTGACCTCTTTTAAAAAATTATAATCAAATCCTATGAGAAATCATTTTAAAACCATGGCAAATCCAAAGGAGCTGATACATATTCTTTACAAAGTCAAAAATAGCTCCTCTAACCATTGATCTTTAACTGGTGAGAAGTCACTTCATCTAGTCCATCCCTGACACCAACTGAGCGTCAATCTGCCTGATTTGTCTGCTCAGTATCAGTGGAGTCATCCCTGAAATACACTCACTCGGACGGGAGAAGCAGCATTGAGACATTTTCTTCACTAGCCCTACTTCGGCCTGAAGCAGTTTTTCACCCTGGCGCCCGGTTTGGACGTGGCCCCTCAGCCCACAGCCTGAGGCGACAGCAAGGCCCCAGGAGTTGTCGTCACATTGGCTGTTAGATATGTTTGAAATGTGCACAACTCCCGGGCAGGGCCCAGGCCCAGGTTGCGGGCTCAATCCCCAGGCGGGGGTGCGCAGGAGGCAGCCGGTCAATGTTTCTTTCTCTCTCTCTCTCCCTTCCTCTCTCAAATTAATAAAATCATATTTTTTAAGAAAGAAAGGAAGAGGAGGGTTAATAGGACCAGACATCCATCTGGCACAAAATTCTCCTCTCCAAGAGCTGAAAGTGTGCATGTCTGCAGCGGTGATAACCTTCAGCATCATCTACATGATAATTACTCATTTCTTTTTCTTCATGGTTCTGTTTGGGTTGCATTTTATTTTGCATTAAACATTTATTTACAAAAACATGATTGCGTATGCTTTAATAACTATTTAGGTGATCACGTACCATTAATTTCAATAATAATTACATTTGTCCTATGAAAATGTGCCATTGGAGAGTTCTTCAGAAACAAATTACCCTCCAGGAAGGACTGTATGGGGGAAAATACTAGCCATTCTACTTATGGGAGGGCTCATGACACTGCAGAGCCACCTTTTCTTCATGATCTTTTTGAAATGTATGGTTTTCAAACACATTACCAGGCACTGCTACCTAAAAGGAAATCGTGACTTGGTTTATGAAATGTTTTACAAAAACCATAATGGTCATTGAGGAAGTAGTTCAACAAGACGATCAATAAGCCATTAGCAGAAGAGATCGTGTCAAATTCGTATCAATCAAGGAAAAGCTGAGCTTACAGTGATGGGCGACGAAGTCTGAGCTGGTTTTTCTAACCCAGTACTTCCCTTTGGTCTTTAAACTGATCAAAAAACCACAGAGCCTTCCAGGACAACACACAGGGGCCCCAGGATGTTAACTGAATGCACTTTTTTAAAGTAAAACTGCGCCACTGCTTTTCTCTAAAGTGTCTTTGTCATATGTATTCGGTGTCTCAAAACTTGTACAGATCAAAGAGAATATTAAAATTACATCCATTAGACACTTCTCATTGCTGCAGAAAAATATTTTGTGTATTTCCCATCCTGTTTCATTGCACTGTTTTTAGGAAAGCTACGTGGTGCTATCTACATAAAAGAGAACATTCACATTAGGGAGGAATATGCCTTGTCTACACTGGCTGGAAGGATGCTCCCCAAAGTGACTTGACAGCACTCTGTAAGTGCATTAATAATCAGAAGCAAATTACCATCCATTTATCCACTTATGAACTCCACAGACCCATCACATTAAATCTGTCTAAGCATGCTGTGTACTTAGAACTCTAAATACCCTTTAATAAAAAATTAAAAAAAAAAAAAGTGGTGTGTCTCAAGTCGATTCAGAAGAAAACAAGAAAATGTAAAGCCAATTTAAAATCATGAAAATTACATCCTAAGTTATTTATGAAATTTAAAAATATCCTCCTATGCTTTCCTTCTACTAACATATATTAATCCTTCTGCTGGAGAACAGGGGATTAAGAGAACTTGAACGTGTGATTAAAAGAAAGATGATCCTTTAATGTTTCACAGTAACAGAAAACAGACCTTGGGCCTTAGCTGTTGAGTCTTTCCCAGAGTGAGGAGGGAGAGCTGCGAGCCTTCTTGTGTGGTTTAATGACCCCTCTATTTGCAGGACCCCTACCGCTCTCCTCTCCCCCCCCCAAAAGAGATATTTATTCTTTGTTTTGATGTGCTTAACTCCCTAGAAAAGTGCCAGAAAGCCATAGAAAATGCCCCTGGGCCACAGCAGACATGAAATTTTTGATGAGTTCATTAAAGATTCATAATGAACAGACCACAGGCATGCCAGCGCACGCAGCATGGTTTCCCTGAGATACGTGGCATCTAAATGCAAGGATGAGAGTCAGTTTCTAGGTTTAATGCAGAAAGCCCACAAGCTTGGGTTTTCGTTTTGTATTTTGTTTAGGTTTCATAATATTATATAGTTCTAAGTAGACAACATCATCTAAATTTACTTTCAAAACTAAAAAAAAATAGGAAGACAAGAGGAACAACTAATGTTCAATTTCATATAGAAAATGATGTCTCCTTCAACTCCCATACTTGGGGCCGATCTTCAGACCCAGAAGGGGCTGGCAGGGGTTTCCCACGGAGCAGACGAGTGCTCAGCAACTGACGTCCCCAGGCTCAGGCTCTCCCACTGTATAATTTCTCTCATTCTAAAATACATTTTTAAGGGAGCGCTTCCCTAGTTTTGTTGCCTTCACACAAAAACCAAGACCTGATGTGAATCTGCAATTCTGACCTGGCCCATCCATGCGGCTCCTCAAGCTTCAACCAAGAGGAACTCAGGGCGCTTTCCTCGGGGCCGTGACAGCTCCAGTTTCCTATTTTTTATAGAGTATTTCCCTCGTGAGCTGCTACCCTGTCTTTCCATGTGGAAAATAAAAACCAGGACTGTACCTGCACCTCCTCAAAAATCATTGCTTGCTCCTGATTGGTTAATGTTGTCAGGTGCTTCTGGAGTTCTAGTTTGGTTTTGGAAGAATTCATTCCTATTAAGAGAAAAAGAGGGAGAGATGAAAACATATTTAAAAGTTATGAGGCAGAGTGAACACTCCTACACTCACTCCCTTTACAGTCTCACCCACCCACTTCAGGCTTTTGAGATTTATGGAAATCCTAACCAATAAAGTTGCCGACAACGACACCACCTAACGTTTTTTAGTTAGGCCCTCCATGTGCCAGGCACCGTCCTAAACACCAGGTCTGCATGCTATCATTTCATACTCAAAACAATCTGATGAAGAGAATTTGATTATCCCCATTTTACAGTTAAGGAAACTGAGACCCTGAATGCTTACATATTTCCAAAAACCACCACCTTGGACTCCATCTCAAGCCTGTGAGGTTCCAAAATACTTCTTGGGCACTGCTCTGTGTTCAAGCCCCTCACACAATCAGAACACTGTCCTCAGAAAGTGATAAATTCCTGCCCTGGCTGGGCAGCTCAGTCGGTTAGAAACCATCCCAATATTCCAAGGTTGCAGGTTCGATCCCCAATCAGGGCACATACAAGAATCAACCAAGGAATGCATAAATAAGTGCAACAACAAATTAATGTTTCTCTCTCTCTCTCTCCCCACCCTTTTCTAAAATAAATGTTAAAGAATTTTTAAAAAGATAAATTCTCATGCATATTTTCTCTCGATAACTTTGCTTAAGGAGAAACTACTACTGCTCCATTTGAAAACTAACCAACATATTTCTCTTGCATGTTAGACTCCTTCACATGAAACTGAATCATGCGGCTAACAACTTTCCTTTTACCACCACTTGCTTGGTAATACTCTTAAGACCATTTAATTACCATTACAGAGGATTCCGAGAAAAAATTATAAAAATAGTGTCATAGTTTTGGTGCCCACTACTGTCTGATATTTCAGAAAGATCTTTCTCGACACATATATGGCTCAGACCCTGTTTTGCTTTTTCTTGGTGTCAGAGATAAATGCTCCACACGATGAGATTTAGAATGAAAGGATTTACTGACCTAACTACCATGAAAACAACCGCTGGGTATTATAGACATACCTTGCTGCACTGTACTTCACTTCCCTGGTCTCTGAAGATACTGCATTCTTTACAAACTGGAGATTTGTAGCAACCTCCAGCAAAAAGATTACAACCTGCTGAAAGCTCAGGTAATAGTTAGCATTTTTATTTTTATTTTTTTTTTTAGCAATAAGCTATTTTTAATTAAGGTACGTACACTGTTTTTTTAGACATAATGCTATGACACAATATAGTGTAAATATAACTTTTATATATGTGGGAAACCAAAAAAATTCATGTGACTCATTTTTATTGTGATATCTGCTTTATTGTGGTGGTCTGGACTGAGCCAGTACTATCTCCGAGCAATGCCTGTACTTTTATGCCAGGGGTGGCCCTCTCCCTATCCCCCTGCCACTCTGCTTCTGAGAGTGAGCCCCGGGCAGGGCCCGGTCTTGTCCTCCAGGAGCCGGAGAACCATGGGGATGCACCTATACAACTAAGGATGGCCAGGAGGGGACACCTCTCAAATCTGCAACAGGAACCTGGAGTCCTGCCTGCTTTACAGATGAATTTGCTGAGGTCCAGAGGAGACAGGTGACCCATCCAAGGACAGGAGCCAACCAGCAGCCAAGCCTGGCCCACAGCTCCTCCCTCCTAATTGGCAGTGGCGAGGATGCTGTTCCCCTCCTCACACTTGCAGCCATCTCGGCTTCCAGAAGTTCTTCCTTCCTTCCCACTTTGTTTTGTTTTTTGGGGGTGTTTTTTTGGCCAAGAAAACCCTAAGAGGCCACCATAAAAATAAAGGCCAGTATTTCTCCAGTGATTGCTGTGCCACTTTGCTCAATACTACATGCAAAATCTCATTTAATCCTCAAAATAATCCTTGAAGTGGGAACTATTTTTAGTAATCCAATGTATAGAAGTAAAAACTGAGGCTCGATGAAGTCAAGTATTTTGTCCAAGGTCATCAGCTAAGTAAGGGACGGAGTTAGAATCTGAGCCATGCCTATCTGCCTCCAGAGATCACTCTTAAACAGTCGCTGCCTCCCTTTCACCCAGAGAGTTAGGTCATCTGACACATGAGGGCTTCGATACCAAGTGAATTAATTCACAGGTGGGTAAAAGTGCAGAAAGAACAGGTGGGTTTTGTCAGAGCAAATTCAGGTGCTCTCTGGCAAGATGTCAGGTCCCAGGAGCCAGGGAGATGCATGGTTGATTCTACTGTACTAGCTACTTATATGTAGAATCAAAATAAGTGTTTAAACTTATGGTAACATCAGCCCTCAGTGATCGTAACTAACAAGCCTCCCCGCATATGGAGATGTCCCTGACACAGTGTCACCATCCCAGTCCGAACACAGTGTGTTGCTTGATGAGACACTCACATGTGGAGAGAAACCCAAGCTCTAAGAAGAGTTGGGCCGATTATACACTTCCAACCACCTCAGGTGAATTCACGTGGCACAGACTGTTCTTCATACTCAGCAGGTACGAGAGATCCTTCGGCAAGTTTTATTCTTGTCTTCAGGATGCTTGGATTCATTCGGTCCTTCCTGCCCCCACTCAAAACCGAGGCCATCCGACCCCGGGCCAGTTCACTTACCCCACACCCTCCACATGGCTTCGCACCACCTTCAGGGCCTCCTGGGGGGTTTCTGCAGCGAGGTGGCGCATCCCCAACGTGATGTCAAAAGGCTTTACAGGGGGAAAGGGTGGCTAGAGAAAGGGAACCAGAGTCCAGGGCGTTCGCAGACCACCATCCCCGCAGCCCCCTCACCAGGGCGCCGCCTTCCCGCTGTCACTGTGGAAAAGGCTCTCGCTGGGGAGCCTGGCGCAGCCAGAGGCGAGTTTACTTAGAGTGCAAACCTCAATTCCACTGTTTGTTTTCTTTTCAGTGAAAGTATAATTCATTCTAGTAATTCTGAAAACACTCCTCTAAACTTTAAAATAGCAAAACACTGCATAAATACTACTAGCAGTGGCACACAATTCAAACTCAAACCCGAGCACAGATGCACCTCTCGTGTGTTGTGAGTGCACATTAGGGTGACGTGTCCAACGCCGTCAATGTGTGCCATGTATTTACTCTATTTTATACATCCCGGGGCATGATGTGGCTGTATCAATTAACACAGCGCAGTCCTGAGGTCTCCCTCTCTGTGGCCATGTCACTGGCCCTCTCCACAGCTTATGGAATTCTCGGCCAGACCATATGTTCCCATTAGAACTACTCTTAAGGGAACATGCAATGAGCTTTAATAAACCACTTACTTCACTGTACTGATTAGAATGCAACAGAGCAAAAAGCAAGGGCCTCCAACTGTTCATGAAACGATTAGCACCTCCCCTGCTGAGCACACCTCTAATAACGCTCCATCCACACTCTGGAAATGCTTCCTGTCAAGCAGGCAAAACATACCCTCACCAGCCTACGTGATGGATGCTTTTACATCAGCATAGCTTTCTGTGTGCTTAGATTTTATCAGGTGAAGGATGAATTAAATGATACTTCCCAAACTACAGCTGCAAAATTCCCACCCTGATTAAACTTTGCAGTTACGACTTTTTGAAAGCTAAGCCAGACCAAAGAAAGATTTATCAGGTGGAAATCTGGAATCCTTCCAGTCCCCACAGATCCCAATCTGCTTTATCTGCATGGCCAAAGTCACTGCTGGCTCCTTAATAAGCTCTTAGGGGACATTTCCGTCATCGTTCACCTTATCTTGAAAACCACTAAGGAAAGGGTTAGTGATCCTCTCAGATGGGCCCTTTAGTTAAAGCCCAACTTTTCTTGTTCCCAGATATATTTTGTATAATGTCAGCAAATGGTAACAACTGGGAAAACACAGTTAAAAATATTAATCATTTCGATTCATTTTAAATAGCACCTATAATGCCAGAAAATGAACTTTCAAAAACCTTAAGATGAAAATTGTTAATTTAGCTCACACAAAAAGTGAAATCAATACCATTTCACACCCATTAGGATTATCATAAAGTAAAAAATAAAATAAAAAAACAGAAAGCAACAAGTGTTGGCCAGGATGTGGAGAAATCGTTGATGGGAATATAAACTGGTGCAGCCACTGTGGAAAATATTACAGTAGTTTCTCAAAAAATTAAACACAGAATTACCCTATGATCCAGCAATTCCAGTCTGGGTATATTCCCAAAAGAAATGAAAGCAGGAATTTGAACAGGTATTTGTACACTACCATCCACAGAGGCATCATTCACTATAGCCAAAAGGTGGAAACAAGCCAAATGTCCACCAGAAGATGAATGGATACACAAAATGTGGTAAATATACGCAATGCAGTATTATTCAGCCTCAAAAAGAAGTGAAATTCTGACACATGCTGCAGCATGAATGAAACTAGAAGTTATGCTAAATAAATGAGCCAGACACAAAAGGACACACACTGTATGATTCTACCTATAGGAAATGCCTAGAGCAGTCACACTCCTCGAGACAGAAAGAATGGTGGCTGCCAGGGGCTGGAAAGGGGAAAACTGAGAGATGATGTTCAGGAAGTTTCAGTGTGAAAAGATGGAAAAGTTCTGGAGATGGACGTGGTGACAGCTGCACAACAATGGGAATGCACTTAAGGCCACTGAACTGCGCACTTAAAAAAGATAAAATAATACATTTTATTTTTAAAAAATGAAATTAGATTTAAATAGTAATGTTGTTTTTCTTTATACCAGTAGAGCTTATAAGTATTAGAGAGACGTGAGAAACAATCAGATCTTTGTTTTTTAACAGTAACATGGGTTGTTTAACTCTGTGATTCTCCTCGAAAACCACACACAAAAATGTTTTAGAGATTCTCCCATAAATGGAACAAAATACAAAATCCAGGAGAGAGAGAAATGAGCCCCTTCAACTTCGGGGTTCCCTCTGATGAGCACCACGGCCACCACTTCCTCCTGGCCCTGGGCCCTGAGCCCCTCCTGCACTCCCAGCGACAGACCCACTCTCCGCGGAGCACTTCCCTCCCCTTTTCAGAAGGAACATCCTGTCCTCCGTCCATCCTGACTCGTGAGGCCGCCCAGGCTCTGAACTTGCTCGACCCTCAGGTTGTGAAAAGCACAGTCGCTGGTTCTTCCCTGCACAGGCTTCTCCTGGGAGGCCGGCTCTGGTGGCGGGTAACAGCTGGGGCTTTCCCACCTGACTCCTGGACCAGTTTATTCCTAGTTTACCCTAGTTTACGCTTGGACTTCTCTAATCCTCAACTTACCCCTACAATGTGCAAAATAAACAGCCCCCTTTCCTCCGATGATGTGGTGAGGTTTAAAGGGATCGGGATACATGGGAAAGAAGGGGCTTAGCGCAGTGCCTGGCACATCCCGTGTTCTCAACAAATAATAACTGCAGATCATAACATTATGGTTCCCCCTTAAGTCAAATTTCTAGAAATTGTAGTCCATACTCAGTCACCACGTCCTCTACTCTTTCCCATTCGCTCCTCACCTGCGACCCGTCTTCTGTCCCCTGTGCTCCATTAAAACTGCTCTGGCAGAGGTTACCGATGACCTTCGTCACCCAGTGGAAATTCTTTAGCTCTTATCTTACCAGATCTCTCCATAGCAGCCAACAGGACCGGCCACTCACACAACCTTGATTAACAACCGGGCTGGTTTTGTAGCCTTTTTCCCTAACCCCTCCACGACCCTCAGAGCCCCTTGCAGGGGAGCTGGCAGAAGGGGCTGTGGATTTCTCTCTGCGAATCACCTGCCATATGGAACACATTCACTGCATGCTGACAGGTCACCGAGCCCGGTAACTAATACGAGCCTCTGTTGGGCAGAACCTGTCAGCGAATGCAGATCGCCCAGTTTCCGGGGGCCTTTCCCTCCCGCCAGGTTAAAGCATGAAAGGGGCCCCCACTCACCCTCGATGCGCTCGCAGAGCTTGTGCAGGCCCTGCAGGGGGCAGCCCTCGCACAGCTGGGCCGGCGCTTTCGTCTGCTGCACAGCAGCCACCGTGAAAGCCTGTTTCAGCGTCATCATGATTTCATCGACCTGATCAGAGAGAAGAGGGACTGTAGCCACAAGCAGTCCGCTTAAAGTGAGCTGGGCTCAGCACTAAGAACTCTGTGGAAAGACTTAGCATTTTAAGAGTTTTCTGGACTGTGAGCCACAGGTTGGCGGGTAATAATCATATCAGCTAGGATTACCATCTGAGACACACTACGTAGATGCTCAAGGCTCTTACTGGGGATGAGAGAAAACTAAAAACACAAATGCAGTACTGAGTGAAAAAGCCACCTCCTCCCATCGAAAGTTCAAAACGGCAGTTAAATTGCTAAACCAGAGGGTGCGGGCAAGCTGGTTCTTCGAAAATAGTGAAAATTGAAAATGCACATCCAAGTAAGGCTCGGATGCATGCTAATTATTCAGTAGTCATGAAAGAATAATTAAAGCCAAATAATGATTCGTCAGCGAGACCGAGGTTTTGCTAAGGAAAGAGAAACGAGTGCAGGTGAAAGTCCTTGTGGCTAAGGTTCCCCGGTAAGAGCTGCCCCCCCGGCTTACCAGGGCCTCATTTGTGCACTGAAACACGTAACAGACGAAATGAAAGCCTCCGCCTCCCGAAGACTCTCGGCAGATGAACCCGAAGTGGTCCACGTGTCTAATACCCTGTTGGAGGCAGGGAGAGAGGAAGGGATGTTGAGCTGAATCCAAAAGGGGCATCACTGCCAGGAAGGCAACTGCAAATTTACACCATGAAACATGAACGAACACCATAAAACTATTATTATTTCAGATATTTTAAATGTCTAAAAGCATCTCTCAAATATGAGGATGAACACTGTTCTTCTAAAATGTCACCCTGATTATTCCCACGATAAGAGAAATAAGATCTATGCTCATTTTAGTACTAAAAGGAAGGGGAGGAAAGCTGACACAGCAAAGTAAGAACTTTTCTTAGGTATTAAAGAATAAGTTACTTGGAAAGTCAAAAGCAGACCTGAGAGTAATGAAGAAACACAACTGTACACATACACACGCACACACAGACACAAAGGTTAAAAGAAAAGATTTAAAACATGTACTTATAAAATAAATGGGTAATTACTGAAGTAAACTGCTATATAGAATGACTCAGAAATTATAATCACAAAGAACAGAGAAGCTTTTAAACATAAGATATTAAGGCCAGGGCTCCATCTTAGTTCCTTGAGAGCTCTTTTTAATAAATATTAATATCTAAACATGTTTTGAGTATCAGCTAAGAGGCTCCTTAACACAGATAAGACATCGTCCATAAATATTAATGTGTCAGGATCTCCTGAGAGCACCAGCCTGAGAGGTATGAGTGCCAACAGCGGGAAGTTCAGGCGATTATGTAAACTTTAGGAAATCATAAAACTATCATGTGAAAAAGCAAACATTTAACATTAACATTTCAATAGAAATAGCAGCAAATCAAGAGAAAAATTCTGTGGAGAATCTCACTTTCAGATCAAATAGTTTCCAATAAATGGGAAATCACAGACGTAAGCTAGCATCTCAAACAATGTTCACCAATAGCCAAGTTGAGCATGTGCTAGAGGTTACTCTGAAGGGAACAAGATTTGGAAAAACTGTTCCTTTCTAAATGGTTCCCTAATTAATCTATTAAGGAACATTATTTTCACATTTTGAGGGGGGAAAAAATCCCTTTTGAATCCTTAAGTAGATCATGTTATAATCAACAAAAATGAGATTTTCATCTTATTAATTAAGAGAAAATGGAAGTAAGGAAATGAGAAGTCAGAGTTTAAAAAATAGTCAAACAATAATGTTAAGTGACCTCATATTTGTTAGGAAGATCCTGAGTAAAACTGGCACAGCTCATTTATAACTGATAGGTTCTCCAAACTCTATGAGACACACTGGGAGAGTATCAAGAAAGAACCCAAATAGACAGTATTCTGAGCAAAACATCCTCAAAAATAATCATTATCTACTATATTTTAAGGAAGAAGAAATAATGATTGGTACTCAAAAAATGTCATGAACTTTTGTAAAGAAGAAATAAGTATCTATTTAAAAATATGTACTTATGTGTATGTATGAATGTGTATATAAAATGTGCACACAGACATACACATATACACCTAGGAATCATCTCTCAGGAACATTACCCATAATTGCAAAAAAAGAAAAGTAGACTTATTTTCTCCAATAGGTTATTGTTTCTAAAAACAAAATTCTTAATTTCAAAATTACAATCGTATTTTGCCTTAATATACGAAAGGAAAAGAAAGAAACGCAAGGACACAAATCAAATAGTTAGAGCACATACATCTTGTGACCTTTAGCACTTCTGTTGACGGACAGATATTAAAATAATTCATTAAAAATTCAACTGCAATTGAGCCAATAACCCGTCTCCACTTACCTGAGAGCAAAAGGATATCTCCTTAAAATTTTTCTCCAATGCTATTTTTTTGGTGTCAGGACTGATGAGGTAAACTTCAGATTGACCAATCTTAAAAGATAAACAAAAAAAAGCAACCAGCTTCTCATGAAAGTTGAATTCAAATTTATCACACAAACTTTCTCATTTCATGACCTATGAAAATAGAGTAAAAGGGGCAGGCTTCTATAAAATTCTGACTACTACCTCACTGTAGAAAAGATTGTAATTTATCCTATGGATTTTGGGTAGCACAGGACAAGCTGGGTTGCATCACCTTTGTAAGACAGCAGTCTTCTTTGAGATGGAAAGACAAAATCAAATATCCAAAAGTTAGCAGCAAAGCCTCAGCTCCCACATAAGTGAATCTTCCAGAAAACAGATCTCTTTTAAAACTTCCTAAATGGTTTTCTAATGATTTCTTACTAAGTCTTTTAAAATTATTGTTAAAATAACCTGTCATTTGTGGAGTATACACTGTGTGTTAGGCATTCCTGTACTACTTAGTTTTTCAAAGTTAGAACACTAGCATAAATTAACATTGTCTTACTGATGTGGGTCAGCATGATAGACTTCATTATAGGACTGAGTTGCCATGGCCGCCTGTTAACTGTGCTCCATCCCTCCCCCAGGGCCTTCTCTCTTGCTGCTCCCTGAACCCAGGATACTCTTCTAGTTAGTCACCCTGAAACCTCTGCTCAGTGAAAATCGTTTCCTCAAAGAAGCCTTCCCCAGATGCTCTTGCAGCATCCTCTACTTATCCTTCAAAGTATTTATCACAACTCTAATGAGATAATTACTTGCAATCAGTTGTTGGTCTCCCTTTCCAGAATCTAAATTCCACGTGGGCAAAGACCACATTTATTTACTGACGTATTTCTAATGTATTGCAAGAGACCCTGTACACAGCAGTCATACAATTACTTTCCCAATGACTCCAAGAGAGATTTTTTAAAAATATAGATTAAGGTACAAGGCTGAGTGCCAAGTAGCACCCTTCAGTATACTAGGTCTATGATGAAAACAGAAAGAAATCAGCCCTATGTTCCCTACCTCACTCTCTTGATCTTAAACCTGCATACATCCATCAGCATTAACCTGAGTAGCCAGCTTCCTTACCCTCACCCATCTGACTGCCCTGAGTTAGACACAAAAACAAGACATGACCTTTAAGGTAATTTTGCTCTCTCTAGAATGTTGGTCAGCTTTAAGCCAAAGGAAGAACAGAGAAGGGGGTCAAGGAACAATCAGCTCTCTGTATCTTCAGAGGCCAGCTCCCTGCTGGGACAGCTCCAAACCCATCAGCTCAGACCCAGGGGGCACCCAGGGAGGGCAAGCCCAGCCAGAAGAGCCTGGATCAGCAGGGGACCAAGGAATACCAAACACCAGGGAAAGCTTCCCTGTCCATTCCTTTGCTGGCATTTGGCCCATTATCAGTTTAGGTATAAATTTCAAAATATCACACCATCTCAAAATCCAATTATCCTGATTTACAGAGAGTAAATGTTTTACAAATTATTAAAAATAGCAAAGAAGAAGTATTTTCCAAAAAGATTTTGTTGAAATAGATTACTTGAAATTAACAAATATTTTTTAAAATCCCTTTTTGGGCCTCTTTTACACATATTAACTGTGTTCTTTCTGCAATGAAAATACATTTTTACAAGCATGGTGGGGGGAGATAAAAATTATACAAGGAAATGAATTCTCTTTATCTTTCCCCTTGGTGATTTTAAAGACTGAGGACTTAAGCAGGGATTTTATCCTGAGAAAAGAACTATTCAGGATAAAAATATATAGACTTGCACATCAATCCAAAAGCTCAACAAAGCCGATTCTGTTCTGAACACGTTCTCTCAGACTGGGGATGCGCACGAGGCTTGGCGATGTTTTACCGTAAAGAGCATAGTTCGATTTTCCTCCATATCTGTGGGCTGCACAATATTGTGCCCGCTGATGAGGTGGTTCTCAATGTCTCTTTCATCAAAAGAGCTGAAGAAGCTGTGGCTGCGAAGGCCCCCGTCCTGAAGCTCCCTCTTGTAGGCCAAGGAGCGCAGGCCGGGCTGCGAGAAGGCCTTGCGCATGGGCCGGGGGCCCGGCTCCGCGCCCCCCGCGGGGCCGGCG